GAATATTTGGAGTTGACCCAATTGTGAAAAAGTCTGAGGCGTTCGGCGGGATTTGAACCCGCGTATCAGAGAAGGCATTTACCGGAAGCCAACGCTCTAATCTCTAAGCTACAAACGCCTCTCCTCGCGCCACGAATTTAATCACACGGTCGATATTACCCGCCTAACTTTATCGCCCATATGGAATCCGCCAATACGGAGCAACAAGCTGACTGCCCATAAAGATTTCCTAAGCAGTCATCTAGAATCCACCAGAATGACTAATAGGCTGACTTAATTATTAGGAGAATATTCCATGCTGTCCAGATCCTCTGCCACAAATCATAAAGCGTTTAGGTGTGCACTAGATGTTATCAGGGAGACCGGCTAGATCCGATGTAATCGTAGAAGTAACAAGGAGAAGTAAGTTTTCTGTAGGAATAATCAGGTTTCTTCGGCACTTTTCATTGCTTACGGCTAGAATTGCACTGCGTTCGGCTTTTTATTCGTAACTACTTGATTTATCAGTCATTTTGTTCAGCACTTTACAAGAATATACAGCTGTTAAAAACTTTTTTTTTTCAAACAGGAGGCGAAAGCCAGCAGTACAGACGAACAGGAAACTCAATAAAGGACCTGTGAACATTGATTCTTACCTATTATCTGTTTCGGTAATTCCGAATTTTTCTTACTCTGTGCTTTTGTCAATAACAATGAAGGTTTCTTGTATACTCATTTCGGTTTCACAAGTCTTTCAAACAGCATGTTTAGTTCAAACTGGCATTTAGTACAACTTGAGGTGCTTTAGTCGTCAAAGTAAGCGTTGGGTTTAGTCTCCCCGATCACGAAGCTAGTTCTAGGAAAATGCCGGCTCCTTAGCGTTCAAATTTGCGGTTGTTTCCATGGCAATCGATGAGGACACTGTCGAATTCGGTTTATATTGGCGAATGAACGCCCACCGACTTATCATAAAAATCACTCGTCCCATTGTGGCCTGAAACTCACTCCCGAGCCCCTCCGGCAGCCACACGGCG